GGAGATCTTTGAATTAAAAGTGCTGAGCTGTGGAATCAAAGTTCAGTGTAATTATAATTGGAAAGCAAGTCTGTAGTCCAAGCTTCCTGCCACCTCTATCATGTCCTTTCTGCCAACCCAGACATTACTGTCGAGTGCTACTCAGCTCTGCACACTTCTGACTGCTTGCAACCCATTGCAGCCTAAGGATCAACAAAATAGATGGTTGATTAATTAAAAAGTTCTATCTAGACTTAATGACAATATTTATTTTTAAAGCTAAAGAGTCACTGAGAATAAAATTGTTAAGCCAACTTGTTTCTTCTCCTCTATCATTTTTTCATGTCCCGCTATGTATAGTGATAAACTGGTCTTCCTGAAGCATTCACTGCTCAGAAACTCTTCTGGGCTATAAGTCAACATCCAGTCCCTTCAGTGTCACCCTCAGAGCCTTTCTGTCTGGAACCTGGCAACCGTTCCATCTTATTTCTCACTATTCCTTTTCCAGAACTCTCCTCTCCAGACGTTTATTCAATGCTTTCCAACCTCCCTGCCATTAATCAAGCTGCCACCCGTCCACTGCTGTCTTTTCTGCATCTGTTCAAATCCTTTGCAGTCTTCTTCACAAAGCATTCCTCCATTCCTTTTTTGGAAGTAGCTTCTTTATTTTTGTAGAATTGTATTTGTACTTCTACCTTTATGTTTTGGTTACATATGTGCACTATTGCCTCCTACACTTGATAAACTGGAAAGTAGACTCCATGTCTGATGAATGAATGACCAGAAAGAAAGCCAGAATACATGTAGTGAAACTGGATGCAAATTAAAGATTTTCAATATTTTTAAAAGATTTATTTTTTATTTATTTGGAAGACAGAGTTACAGAGAGAGATAAAGACAGAGAGAGAGGTCTTCCATCCACTGGTTCACTCCCCAGATGGCTGCAACAGCCGGAGCTGCACTGATCTGAAGCCAGGAGCCAGGAGCCAGAAACTCCATCTGGGTTCCCTTCTTGGGTGGCAAGGACTCAGGCATTTGAACCATCATCTGCTATTTTTCAGGCATATTAGCAGGAAGCCAGATAAGAAGCAGAGTAACCAGGACTGGAAGCAGCACTCAGATATGGAGCGTGTGTATCACAATCAGTGACTTAACTTGCTGCACCACACTGCTCACCCTGTCCAATTCCTGAGAGTTTACAGCTTGGGGCTAGTGCAGCCTATCCTGTAAGACCTAAGAATTTCAGTGGATTCAGTGATGATTTCCAAATGGAAATTTTGTGAGAACTCTTCTTCTTAATTTAAAAACCCACCAGTAAGTTTTTATTGAGTACTTCTATTACATGTTTCTATATCATTGTTATGGAGGATCACACGTGAACCATTTCCTCGGAGAACTTACCATCTACTTGAGGACTAGCCCTAATTAGGGAATACAAGTAACAATAAGTGAGAAGGGGATGAAATACTAGATAAGATGTACTGTGGGAGTGTAGAGGAGAAACAAGGCAGTGTGTGTTGGAGTGATTACAGAAGATGGCGTAAATGATTTTGATGCCTGAACTGGGTTATGAAGGGGAGAAAGAGGAGGAGGGTGGTGGTGGTTAGATAGATTTGCCAGAAGAATGGAACAAGTCACTTCCAGGCAACAATATGTATAGAACTCCAAGGACTCTGGCCTTCATCAGAAGTGATGAAGTGTTGAGTAATATGAGAAAGTGAAGTATTGGGTAATACGAGAAAGTTAGCTAAAAAGGGTGAGGCCAGATTTTGAAGGGCGTTGGATGCCAGAAAGAAGAGGCTTTATTTGATCAAGTGGAACCAAAAGGCTTTGTGAAAGAGAATGATGAGAATGGTTAGTCAGGCAATGGTCATTAGAGTTGGACAGAGAAGAAAATATGTCCAGTAAAGTAAGGGAACATTGTCATCACAGAATGTAATGGTGAGAGCTGAACCAAGATGGTGGCAATGGGGTGCAGGAAAAGGAAGGGTCAGGAGAAGCATTTTAAGGGGAGACTGTTAGCACATCTTTAGTAACTGGATTTGAAGGCAATATAAGAAATATATTGTCAACATTTATTCTAAGATTTCTGACCTATGCCTAGGTTACCTAAATAGAAGGGAACCATTGTTAGAAGCAGAAAAGATAGGGATACCACTGTTCTAACAAACAGTTTTGAGTTTCGTGTTAAATCTTCTTGTTATCAAGGCTTTCTAAGTGAACATCCAGTAAGAATTGCAGAAATGGGCCTATACTGTGACACAGAAGGTGAGACTAGCACCAGTTTGTGTCCCTGCTGCTCCACTTCCATTCCAGCTCCCTGGAAATGTGCCTGGGAAGGTGGGAGAAGATGGCCCAAGTTCTTGGGCCCCAGCACTTACATGGGAACAGTGGTATCCCTGGCACAGCCCCGGTCATTGTGGCCATTTAGGGAAGGAACTAGCAGATAGAACACATCTCTCTCTGTAACTCTGCCTTTCAAATAAATAAGTAAATCATATATATATATATATATATAATCATATATATAACGATTTCCCAACTGTTTAGTTTAAGATGTCTCAGAACCTTGAGCCATTTTTAGCTGTTAGCGTGAATACTTAGTAAATACTTATTAAACTTACTGTATTTCATTAGTTCAAAAGTGCACCTTGTTTCTTACTCTAACATCTTTCAGATTGCAGTAGTTACTACAGAGCCACTGGTTCCTTAACCAGTTTGTTTTGTTTATTTTTTCTTTTTATACATGCACAAAAGTTCTTTATTATAAAGTGTGTCCAAATAAATCTCAAGGAGCTCTTTCATTAAGTGTCCAATAGGATTCTAAGTGATGAATAGGTAGTTCTGTAGTTTTCTTTCTCAGTGGTACATAAAATGATATGTTTGTTCTGCCATGATAATATCTTTGGTTTGATGAAATGTGTTTTAAGATAGCTGATCACAATCAAACTCTACCAAAGTGATATAGATGGTCAAAGTATTCTAAATTCCTATTCTTTCTTATACCTGAAAGTGAGGCATCCTTTGGGTTGTTTTAATTTGTGCTAGAAATAGTAAGAGAAAGAGTTTTTATTCAACAGTGTAATTACTGCCTGCCAGGAATAGGAACCTCCTTGGAGAACCCATTTCTTTGATGGTACAGAATCCATAACATTCTCAAAATCTGTGTTTAGCAGAATGGGAATAGGTATGTTATTCAGGCCCATGTTTCCCTTCCTTATCTCAGACTACTGTGCAGTCCAAGCCACTCTGAGCATACTTGCTGTTCCTGTAAAGTGAGAGTGAGTCTACAAGGAAGTTTTGTTTGTGTCTAAGGATGGTATAAAGTCTCACAGTGGTAAAAAAAAAAAAAAAAGTTATCTCTTACAAAGGTCAAGGATAGAAATATTTGATTTTTAATACCAGGGTCTTCAGTCATTTCTGCACTATGATCGATTGATTGGAGGTAGGTTGCCTATGTGTTCAGTGATACTTTGTGGACAGAAACACAGTCTCTTTTCTTACGGATTTGCATAGCATAATGATTCTGGCATGTGTGTGTCTTTTTGAAAGTTTGTGCTCCAGCCCTGGGAAGTAGGAATAAAGTTAGAATGTTAGGGCTGAGGGATGCTACTCCTTACTACTAAGGGACACAATACTTCAGGTAAGTGATGCTGAAGTCCTTCACCACCTGGCGGTAACCTTGGGTTGATCCATAGGTATGTTTTCATTTTGCTTGTTTATCCATTCTAATTGGCTTCCTAGAGCTTGCTTGTAGAGGTAGAGCCAAACTGAGATTAGAGCAACCCTCTGGCAAACAGGAAGAGATTAATTTTGTGGTGTGCTGTTAAGGGACTTCCCAGGAAACTTCAAAAGCACAGAGACACACTTGCTGCCTATTGCAAAAATGTGCAAAATACCACTCAGCTTTCTAAAGGCATGATAAACTCAGAGCCTACGTTCTCTCTCTCTCTTCAACACACACACACACACACACACACACACAGGACCATATTTCCAACAAAAAGAGAAGTTGGGCTTTTTTTTTTTTAGGTAGACTTGTATATTGGCTGGAAAAGCCAAGGGATTGAGGGCTTCAGAGAGTTGGTGGAGATATACGTGAAGCCTGCATATGGGAGGCATTTGAAATTGACTTAAATGGCTTTTTAATGCTGACTTCTCTAGTTTTCTCCTAAGCAGACACATTGTTTTCATGATATCAGCCCCAGGCAGGGACACATCATTAAAATGAGCATACAGAAAATAGTTTTGGTTTGAAAATAAGCAAAACATTTTCAGTTATGACCACCCAGGTGTAATAGACAGAACACTGGAGTTGGGAGCCTCAAGTTCTAATATAAACTTTCTTCGTGACACGAGGCAAATCCTGTACGGCCTTGAGTTTCCTTGCCTAAAACAGCATGGCTCAATGAAATCTTTCTTTTCTGAAATAGAATATCTCTATGAGAGGAAAGAAAGCCAATGGAAAGGCTCCTTGGAGCTCCTTGATTGCTGTTTTATTATTGTGCTCTTCATACCTAGACATTACATAGGAAGAAAGGTTCATCAGACCCCTCAGGCCACCAGTGTTCCTGTCACACATTCCTGCAAAGGACCACATTGCTAACATGAAAAAAAATTACTATTACACTTGCAGCTGTTGCTTGGTAACCTTTCCGATTTTGTGTTTCTTGGGATAGCATGAGCGGAGATCATTAAAAATTTAACTTACCAAACTGCTTAAAGTGAGGAGAAAGGAGAACGTGAAGCCACAATTTTTTCACTTGCATAGATGCCATCTAATCTTAGGTTTATATGCTAAGTCTTGGGGAAAACACTGCATGTCTCTGGTTTATATTAAACCACATTCAGCACACGACTGACATTGATTTGTGTCTAGTGCAGCTGGAGTTGATCACTAAGACGTAAAAAACCTTGACCCTGCAGAATGGCCTGGAATTATAATCAGATGGGCCACATTGTTTCCCTGTGAAAGAAAGCCCTAACCAGTGTGGTGTCTTCTTTCTGCTTTTTCCCTACAGTTCCACCAGGTGAGAAGAGTGATGACCATCCTTTTCCTTACTATGGTTATTTCATACTTCGGTTGCATGAAGGCTGCCCCCATGAAAGAAGCAAACGTCCGAGGACAAGGCAGCTTGGCCTACCCAGGTATGCGGACCCATGGGACTCTGGAGAGCGTGAATGGGCCCAAGACAGGTTCAAGAGGCCTGACGTCATTGGCTGACACTTTTGAACATGTGATTGAAGAGCTGTTGGATGAGGACCAGAAAGTTCGGCCCAACGAAGAAAACAATAAGGACGCGGACTTGTATACTTCCAGGGTGATGCTCAGTAGTCAAGTGCCTTTGGAGCCTCCTCTCCTCTTTCTGCTTGAGGAATACAAAAATTACCTGGATGCTGCAAACATGTCTATGAGGGTCCGGCGCCACTCTGACCCTGCCCGCCGTGGGGAGTTGAGCGTGTGTGACAGTATTAGTGAATGGGTGACAGCGGCAGACAAAAAGACTGCAGTGGACATGTCGGGCGGGACGGTCACAGTCCTTGAAAAAGTCCCTGTATCGAAAGGCCAACTGAAGCAATACTTCTACGAGACCAAGTGCAATCCAATGGGTTACACGAAAGAAGGCTGCAGGGGCATAGACAAAAGGCATTGGAACTCCCAGTGCCGAACTACCCAGTCGTATGTGCGGGCCCTTACCATGGATAGCAAAAAGCGAATTGGCTGGCGGTTCATAAGGATAGACACTTCCTGTGTATGTACATTGACCATTAAGAGGGGAAGATAGTGGATTTATGTTGTATAGATTATATTGAGACAAAAAATTATTCTATTTGTATATATACATAACAGGGTAAATTATTCAGTTAAGAAAAAAATAATTTTATGAACTGCATGTATAAATGAAGTTTATACAGTACCGTGGTTCTACAATCTATTTATTGGACATATCCATGACCAGAAGGGAAACAGTCATTTGCGCACAACTTTAAAATGTCTGCATTACATTCCTCGATAACGTTGTGGTTTGTTGCCATTGCCAAGAATTGAAAACATAAAAAGTTGAAAAAAATAATAAATTGCATGCTGCTTTAATTGTGAATTGATAATAAACTGTCCTCTTTCAGAAAACAGACAAAAAAAAAAAAACACAAAAATTTGAACCAAAACATTCCGTTTACATTTTAGACAGTAAGTATCTCCGTTCTTGTTAGTACTCTATCTGTTTTACTGCTTTTAACTTCTGATAGCGTTGGAATTAAAACAATGTCAAGGTGCTGTTGTCATTGCTTTTCTGGCTTAGGGGTAGGGGGGATGGGAGGGGTAGATTTCTGTTTGTTTTGTGTTTTATTTTTGTTTGTTTGTTTTGTTTTTTTTTAGTTCCCACAGGGAGTAGGGATGGGGAAAGAATCCCTTCAGTATATATTCTGGTTAATGAAAAATACATCTGTATGTTGTAAAGATGTTCGCAATATCAATCAGATGACTGGAAAGTGAATAAAAATTAGGCAACTGAATGAAATGTTCATACTTCACTTCCCATAATGCACCTCCCAGACCCCGGCTCACCCTATGGGCATTGGTTGGGGGGGAAGCTTCTTTCCTTGGAAAGACCTGCATTTGCTCAGAACACATTCTTTCCCTCCCTCCCCCTTTGGTCCCTTCTTCGTTTTGTTTTAGCTTAAGGGAAAAAATTCAGTTGCGCGCTCTGAACTATTTTACCACTGCTGTGAATAAGTGAACAAATTGTGTCACATCATGGCAATCGTATAAGCATGGGGAACAGTGATTTCTTTTCCTGCTTTTTTTTTTTTTAGAAGAGAAAAAGAACAACAACAACAGCAAATGTTTCCTTTTTAGGAGCAGTGAGATTTGCATAAACCATTGTAACACTTAAAAAAAATCAGGGGAAGGCTGAGAAATGTTTTATAAGTGAAAGCTAGAGTTCTAAATGAACCCAGAAACACCTAGGTCAGAGCAGGAATCCACATTGCCAGTGAAGTGAGACTAAGCAGCCAGATGGAGACTGTGCGGAGCTGACGTCATTTCTTGGCAATGCCGGAGGAATTTCTGAGTGGCCATCACGAGGTCTAGGTGGAGGTGGGGAATGGTATTTGAGACATTCCAAAAGGAAGGTCTCTTCAGGGCCCTTGAGGGGACGCTCGGGAATGACACGTGTCAAGTTGCTTGGACCTCGTGCTTTAAGTGCCTACATTACCTAACTGTGCTCAAGAGGTTCTCTACTGGAGGACCACACTCAAGGCGGCTTATGCCCTCCATTCCACCCCTCTATAATTGTGCATAAAGTTGGATTAGCCCAGAGCAGATTTGGAACCAAATGTGGTATTTGTGATGATGAGACTGACACATTGAAATAGAAGATGTTTGTACATGAACACTTAATTTCTTTGAAACTAGATTTGAGGAAACCAGGGTTTTATCTTTTGAGAACTTTTGGTAAAATAAAAGGGAACAGGGAAAGGCCCCAAGACTCAAGCCAAGTGATCAAAGGCCACTAATAGAAATCTTGTCCAGAGACAAGACTCGGGGAAGGTGCCTTGCTCTGTAGAAGAGGCTGGGACCGAGCTGACACAATCTTGCTCCCCAGAGAAGGCCGCAGCAACCTCCTGCCCATCCTGTCTGCTTATGAAGAGGGCTCCTGTCTCATCTCTGCCATTCTGGGTTAGGAGAAATCAAACTGGAAACCTGGAATAGTGGTCCTGAGAAAAATGGACCCCAGTGGAATTTAAGGCTCATCCCATTCACCCATTCAGCCCACTTCCAAAGCTGAAAACGGTGGTGGTTACTACCTGGACTAGTGTCCTTGAGTTTCAGAAACAACTGCATGCAAATGCTGCATGTGAACAGGGTGAGGGATAAGCTTAAATGTTCCAGGGAATAAAGATGCCACCAGCAAATAATTTCTGCTTGTTTCATTTTTCATTCAGAACTGGCCTATCTTTTACAGTATCACCTGAACACCTGTCTTTAAAACAAGGAAGACTTTATGTAGTATAGATTTGTTATGTGATGTTTGAAAATAATATCTTTGTAATTATTTTTAACCTGTAAGGAATGCTTGGGATATCTGTTATATGTTAACTTTTTGAAGCTTCCTTTGGAGGGACAAAACTTTAACAGCAAAAGTCCCTATCACAATCTTAAAGTATTGCAAGGGACAGATCTGTTAGGTGATTTCATAGGAGACATTTAGCAATTGTGTGGTAAGTGTACCCAAAGAGATATTTCACTATCACATGCTTGGTGGTTTATGTTGATCTGAGATTTATTTTGTTAAAATTTCTCTCTGTTGCTCTTTGTTCTTGTTCTGTTCTTTTCTGTTTTGTTTTTTTTAAAGTCTTGCTGTGGTCTCTTTGTGGCAGAAGTGTTTCATGCATGGCAGCAGGCCTGTTGCTTTTTTATGGTGATTCCCATTGAAAATGTAAGTAAATGTCTGTGGCCTTGTTCTCTCTATGATAAAGATATTATTCACCATGTAAAACAAAAACAAATATTTATTGTATTTTAGTATATTTATATAATTATGTTATTGAAAAAAATTGGCATTAAAACTTAACCGCATCAGAAGCCTATTGTAAATACAAGTTCTATTTAAGTGTACTAATTAACATATAATATATGTTTTAAATATAGAATTTTTAATGTTTTTAAATATATTTTCAAAGTACATAAAATCTGGGGGTTCTGGGTTTTTTCTCTTTACTGTAAAACAAACATGAAAACGTGTTTCCTTATAAATACGTGTGCTCCTTGCTTTAAGACCAACCTCACTAGTTTTAGCAATTGAAAAGTGCCCCAGAGAGGATGCTTATGCAAGGCTCAAGGAGGCCAGTTCTGCTGCCTGTGAGCTTCTGAGAAGCTCTGGTATTGGATCTGTCTTCCACCGTGGAAGACTGCAGTGTCATTTTCTAGGACACTTGAAAGTTTTCCCCTTTGAAGTGATATTCTTTCATCAAGTAGAAAACCATGTATCCTAGCAACATGAGGATCCATGAATCAGGGCTGGCTGGCTCTATGTGATTATAAAATAACTGTTAAAAAAAATCAAACTAGGTTTACTTAGGGATAATGAGAATAAATTGACCCAAATTTAGAAAGTCAACAAATGAGAAAAAAATACAGAAATTCAATATGTGGAGACAGGTCATATGCCCTCAGTTTGGAAATGATGCTGTTTGCAGTATGTATTTGTATCCATTGCACTGATTTAATTTTTGTACATTGAGCTTGCAGATTTTATATCATAGTACCCACGATCTAACAGATTGCTAGGATTTCTAAAAAGGTTTGCCTCTGTGATGGCTGCCAAGCCGCTGGGTAATTTAGTTAAAGTGTTTAAAGTTATCACTAAATCTTGGTGAAATAAATGGAAGGATTTTAAATTAGAGAAAGAGCCATTAAGGAAAAAAAGCATCTGTTCTTACTCTTCAGACTCCCCATTTGAACACTGAGAACCCATCCCAGAACGTGGTGAACTATATCTGTGCAATGTATCATTTCTATTTCAAACATACACACATGGTTTCCTCTTGTATTGTCTTATTAATAAGGATCAAGAAAGTCATAACAAACATTGACTTGTGTTGTGTATATGGAAGAACAGATCGAACTAGATGAATTATTCTCATCTGTCCAGTGAGTTTTCAGAGTACTCTAAACTCTAAGAGAAGCTCTTGACTGCCAGTCACGACAGCCCAGCCATGGAATTAAGACCTTGGTAAACTTCAGGCTCAACCAATTTTCATAGTTGTGGAAGTCTAAAATATTTTTGAAAGGGTTTAGTAAAAGAAAGTGAGAATTAAATGTGACATTCAAATTACTTACCAGAGTTTGGTCTGCATGACTGGAAGTTTTTATTACAAAATGAGGTTAGAGAAACAAAAACAAAAATGGAGGCATCTGTTCACCAACTTGGAGTTAACGGGAGTAAACACAGTAGTGTGGCCATCGGGTAAGCAGCTCAGCCTTGTTTAATTATTAAGATGCCAAGAAATATACCATTGCTTTGACCTATTGTTTTTCACCATGCTGCCAAGCCTTTGTGCTCACTAGTTGTGTCTGTGAAGTCTTTATCGGCTGTATTAATTCTATGATTATTGTCTCAGTTCTGGGTGAGAATCTGAACTAAATTCTAGAATTAATCAGTTCAGTTGTCCCTCATTCATTGAAGTGGTTACTAGACCCTGGATAAAATGTCAAACATCTTTAGAACTGCAACCAAAGGCTTCAGACCTTGCTTCAATTCAGCTCACACTCTCGGCAGTATTAGGGTTTAAGCCTGTTTCCAGTATGTTCCAACACAAGGCCTATTCTGCAAGTGGAATGGCAGCATATTTTGGCAAACCGTTGTTAAAGAAAGTTAATCATTGGAATAAAAAATAGTGTATGTACATAAATATAGTGTCAGTGATGTAATTAGCCTGGAAATTTGGATAGTTGGATATTATCCAACCTCAAAATACCAGCAGAATTGGTGTTTGATGGATCCTGGGCCATTCTTTCAGTTGTGGACTGTTGTTTTAAAGGTTTGCTAGTAGGTTTATGGAGTGAGGCGGGGGGTGTCTGGGTTACGTGGAATTAACTAGTGGTCGATTCACTCCCCACCTAAGAACCAAACACAGTGACACGAGTGGATGCAACCACTCCAAAATGGGTAGCATCTGAAAACATTCCACACCACCCACACCACTACCCCAGTTCTTTTGAGCATCATCATTCATTCTCTATCCTGGCCACCAGTTCAATACTCTGCAGGGAAAAAAAAAGAGTGCAACTTCCTTATTTTTTGACCTGTAGTTAGATACAGTTACCCAAGAAGATGTTTAAATATTAACAGGAAAGTTTGTGGTTTTACACATATTCCTCATTCTTAACAAGAGCCAGTTTTATGGTATGCTGTAGGATTTCCACAGACGTTTATTTTAATCCCTCCAATTATTTGCTAGGCACAAACCACCAAATCATGAGCTACTGAACCTGGCATTTGCTTTTCAGAATAACAGTCCTGTGTGCTTGGTTATGTCAGTAACATGGAATGGTAAAATCTGCTCTTTGATTTGTTAAATCTCATCATACACACAGTGTAAACAAGACCTTTACGCAAATTATATATTTAAGTGTGAGATGCTGTATTATTAATGTCTTTTAAGATGGCAAAACAAATGTCCCTTGGAAAATTAACCCCTTCTGCCCTGCAAAAACTCACACAAAATGCCCTATTCATGACAGGACATGACTTAAGCCTGTAAATAACCA